GGAGGAGGTACATGGAACACGCTGTGAAAATCTAAAAAAAATATCTCATTACTGGGCTATCCATCGACTGGTTATACCATGGTTGGAATGGAATGTAATCCATTGACTTTTAATCATGCCTCATCAGTCAATAGGTACATGAACGATCGTCATCATTACCATATAGGTAACGATGACAGTAGCCATCCCATGGTAAATCGCGAAAAAAGAAATCCACTCCACCCCCCCCCCCATTAAATACGACTGTCGGCCTACATTTTATGTAATTAACATCTGATCTAATATAGTTACGTACCTAGGCCTATGTGGTTGGCTACGGATAGCCAAGTGTAGAGTACGAAATGCTAAAAAATTCATATGTAAAGGAAAATCATCCTAGAGCAATGCTGAAAAGCTACCGTCTCAATAGAACAAAAATTCCATGTGGGACCTTGCTATCATGTATCTAACGGCAACGTCCTCGTCATCAACCACACCACACAGTGCAGCAACACGAATGTGCTGTACATACACTCATCGCTACTCACTAATTTGAATGTGTGGTTTAATACACATAAAAGCAACTTAAAAGCCTACATTTATTTCCTGTAGTATCTGATCTAAATTAGGGTATAGGCCTATACACACGTACATACCCAGCCAGCCTATTCATCTTCGTCAGGCCAGCCTGCATTACAGTACATTGACACGAAATGTGCTGCACACATACACTCATCGCTACTATCTAATTTGAATATTATGTGGTTTAATACACATAAAAGCAACTTGTAGCCTACATTTCCTGTTATCCGATCTATTACACACACGTGCTACCCAGCCACCCTATAGTTCGTCTTCCTCTAGCTCTAGGCCAGCCTGCATTACAGTACATTGTTTATCTCTCAGAGGAGAGACCACCCACCCTTGAAAGCACCACAAAACGGCTCATTCTTCGCTACCAACTAGACTCGTGCAGACGCATTTATTAGCCGCAAAGCTTACCATTCCAGGCCGTGATTGGTTGATAAACACAATGTGGAATATACAGCCAATTTGCAATCTGATCAATGACGAACACGCTTTCATAGGAAACCCACCTTAATGTTAAGAGATATGATATAAAAACATACTTTTTCACATATTTCCCGACAATATTTCCGCAAAAACACTGCTGCAAGAATGATTACATTCACGAAGAAAAAATGTCATATCACACCTGTACTTAAGAATCTACACTGGTTACCCCTTGAAATGAGAATCACATACAAAATGGATTTACTCGTCTATAAAATTCTTAATGACTCTGCCCCCACCTATCTCACTGAACTGATATCAATCTATGTTCCATCCCGCTCTAACCTGCGTTCGGTAAACCAACTCCGTGCAGTTGAACCTAGATCTAGAAACTCCTGGGGTGAGAGATCGTTCATGGTTGCTGCGGCCAGAGTCTCGAATACACTTCCACTCCAGATCAAGGTTTCATCCTCCACATACGAATTTAAAACTAATCTTAAAACATTCTTTGAAACTTACTTTACATAATTTCCTAACTTTTACACTTACCTTACTTGGGTCAGCGTCGCTGCCTCGGTGGTGCACGGTAGCGGAGCCTGAGGCATAGGCCAAAGGTGGAAACTATTGGAGCCCAGCATACCTTGTGTAGAGTATCTGCGAATACGTGGCTACATAGAGAGAATGACGCTGACCAAAGTATGGCTCATGTAATTTAATTGATTCTGGTCCTTAAACTTTATTGTTTCTTTTGTTGGTCATATTTTTGACTTCTTGTGGAGGGGCGCCATGAGCGTTTTCTTTAAACGGATACCGGCGCTTTAAAAGTTTTCATTATTATTATTAAAAACTCTACATACTTTAAATTTCCCAGGCCTTATCTTCCATATTATTGCAAGATTGGCCTAATCGCGTCACAAACAAAGGAAGAGATAGAAAAACAAATGACTTCAAAATTCGCTCAGAACCATCATATAATCCCTCTCTCTCAGACAGTGGGCTAAAAACTGTTTAACATTTGTTTTTATTACAACAAAAATATTTTAAAACAAATATGTTTAGCTCATGTTTACCTCGTAGTTCTTCCATTAAGAACAGCAGTTCTGGAAGACACTCATCCATCAGATCCTCTGTATTGATCTTGACCTTTGACCTAGGTGGCCTGTATTCAGAGTGCCTGACGAGCCATAGGATTTCATCCTTGGTGAATGCTAGGGCCATGAATACATACAATGCCTAGTAAACATTAACAAGTCAGTTCATTGTTTTCATATATTTTACAGTTTTATGTGATTTAGATGTCAACTTTACATTTTTTTATCTTGTTTTTGCATGTTGAACATCAAATAAATTCAAATTTTCAGATCACACCTACCTTTGGACCTAGGAGTCCAGGCTGATCACTAAGGACAGTCACCAATTCCCGCAGGGCCATCCTCAAGTACTTGCGTCTGTCACAATGAACTCCAGGTCTGTAGAAACAGAGAAATTGTAAAGACTTTGTTCAATACCTAAGATTTGTTGGACACATATTCAATGACCAAATACATCCATAACAAAAGACAAATAAACCGTATTACAGAGACCCATGGATTAAAAATGGAAAGATGATAGATGCTATATGATCGACTCCAAGTGATACATGATGTCAGAATGAAGGAACACCTAAGTAAGTTGTAGTGGCTGCTTCAAATTACACAAGAAGAAATTGTCAGATATTTGTCCATTACAATACCTAAAAATAAATTACAATAATATAGAACTTAAATGCAGTAAAAAGAACTTACGCATTATGTAATGCATGAATACTGCATTCTTTTACTTCAGCAGCTTTTTTATTATATCTGGAAAAATATTATCAACCAAAGAAGAACATTAATACAATTAATAAATATAATGCTAATTACAATACTACCAATACAAAAAAAAATAATACATATAATATTTATTTATTTACATTTGTTTACCAAGGGGAGCCCAAACAGTTAAAACACTGATTTCCATTGGGGCCCTGCATTTAAAGCACATGGTCGTAACCGATTATATTTTCTTAATTAGTGCCTCGTACAATTTGTATTTAAATATGTTTAGAGAAGTCGCAGTTCTCAAATCAATATCTAAGTCATTCCATATATTCGCCCCGGTCACTTTAAAACTCGTGGAATAACTTTCGCTTTTCGAAAAAGGAACCTTCAACTTCATAATAGTTGACTGTCTCGTTTCACAAGCTTGCAAATACGGTGTGAAAAGGTTTGTCATGTATAAAGGTGTTAATCGGTTAATGCATTTATAAACAAGTATAGCTTTTTTATACGTAACCCTTTCGGAAAACGAAAGCCAACAAAGTTGTGCAAACATATCTGCAGATGGGGTAAGAAAATTGCATTTTAAAACTATCCTAGCAGCTCTTTTCATACATTTGTTAAGTAAGGCATTGTGGGATATGTAACGACCTCTCCATACCTGTCTCTTATACACATCTAGATGTGTATAAGAGACAGGTACAGTACCGTCCATAAATGCTGCACATCTTAGACACGTCTGATGCATCCAGAATACGTCCATGACGCATTCTGAATACGAAATCTGGATGTGTCCAACGTTAATAACAGTTCAGACGAATTTTTCATTTGACGCAGGTTTGCTAAATTAACAATTAATTAAACAGTCATTGTGAAGGCAGACCAAATTACAAATGCAGCAAGAAAAATAATCGAACGAAACAGACACTCAACAGTATTCAAGTACTCTACACTACTACGAGAACTTCTGTGGCGGCAACAAGCCAAAATTCCCACTGCCAATGGCGACTGTCTGAGTTAACAAACCTGTAATCTTTCACTAAAAAATAGCACAACCACCTCACTGATAAGAAACCATGTTGCTATTATGTTACAAAT